AATCTTATAACACTATAAATATAAAAGGTAAAATAAAACATACCATAAATGTACTTGAATCACATGATAAGTAAGTGGTCAAACACACGTCTGATCCCGATCACATTCAGGAGGCCACTGATTCGCGCTAATTTTTTAGACGCTACTGACCCACGCTATCATTATGTAATGAGTGACGACATACAAATTTCTGCCCTCTATAATGGGTTAAGAAACCTTTTACACTGTTAATCATATATAGTAATAACAATTATACTGTACATACATATCAGATTCAGATAATTTATTGTCAAAGTGTACATGAAAATCTATAAATTTATTAGGTTGTAGATTAAAATTCATGATGAATGCAAAAAACTTAACTACCTAAATCATATACAGTATATTCCTTTTTATGATGATGAAATAATAAAATGCTTACAAACCCCCTTTTAAATATATCCCTGTCCCACTACTTTGAATCAGATTATTTTTACGCAGATTCAAGTTTATAAGAAAAATTAAATATATACCAGAATAATCAATCTGACTCAGTGCATCTTATTCATTTAATGGATGAATGCCCATAGGTGTATTTATAATATACACTCTGTTGTGTGCTTGTTAGGTTTTTTTATACAGAAAAACCAGAAAAAATATACAGGTACTAAAGAAAGAATAAACAAACTTGCAAATATCAAAATTTATGAAAATCAAAGAAATACAAGTTGATAGCAGGGGCATACCATGGGGGGTTGATGGGTGCGGTCGACCCCCACTTTTAAAGAAAGTGCCCTTTAAATATGCTCGCTTCACTCACAAATAACGCACCCCGCGAATTCTGAAAGCTTCGCTAAATTGCTCCGAGTTCAGCTTGCCCCCTGCGCTTTCGTTTCGACCCCCCCTTAGATTTTTCACCGTACGCCCCTGGATAGGCTGTACAAAAAAGCCCCAATAGATTGAAAAGTAACATTTTTAACATCAATATGCAAGAAAGTAACATGTATATGCAAACTTACACTAAAAAAATATAAAATCATAAGATCAATAGTGTGTGATTCAAATTTGATGAGAACTACACTACAAACAGTTGAGGTTGGCAGATTACAGTATTAATGTTTTCAGTTTAATAACTTCAACTCTATAGATATCATTTATGTAGAATAATTAATATTTTAACAGTTAAAAAAAAAATAATCACCCCCTTAGATTTTTCACCGTACGCCCCTGGATAGGCTGTACAAAAAAGGCCCAATAGATTGAAAAGTAACATTTTTAACATCAATATGCAAGAAAGTAACATGTATATGCATTATATGATTATAAACTTACACTACAAAAATTTAAAATCATAAAATCAATAGTGTGTGATTCAAATTTGATGAGAACTAACACTATCAACAGTTGAGGTTGGCAGATTACAGTATTAATGTTTTCAGTTTAATAACTTCAACTCTATAGATATCATTTGTTTTGAATAATTAATATTTTAACAGTTTAAAAAAAAACCCACAACTTCAGCTCTATGTATATCATATTCAATAATGAAATATTTTAACAAGTTTATAAACATTATGCCAACTTTATATTTCGATATTATTGTATTCAATAATTATTTTAAGTTTAAGATTCATAACTTAACTCTATGTGGATGATATGAAATAATGGATATGTAGATATTCCTACACTTATAAATTTGAATTGTTGAAAACACACAAGTGAAGCAAGTGGACTGTCAGTATTTAATAATTGAATATTTTTACTGTTTTGTCACCACCATTTGCTACTGCAAGTCTCCTTGGATGATATGAAATGATGGATAATCCCTCTGGATAGTTGATTCCATCTTCTGGTTTATTAATTATTTTAATGAAATTACCATCACTACTGAATAGCTGTAGTTTGTGTTGACTTGATATAATGATGTTGTCATCCTCATCAACTACTACTGCACTTGGAGAATTTACTTTACCATCCTCATCACCTGCTTCAACAAGGACTTTTATGAACCTTCCCTCATTATTAAATAATTGTAATCTACTGTTGCCATACTCCAATACAAGAAGGTGTCCTTGGTTAGTAAGAGTAACATCACTGACATTTCTCATTTGACCTTCTTTTATACCATATGACCCTATTGTTTTGATGGTCTTGCCATTATTCATGTCAAACATGTACACACAGCTACTGTACCAACCAATTGCTGCATACAAAACATTTGATGTCTCATCCACATGAATGCTCCGTGGTGTATTCTTTGCTTCCACACTAATTGTTTTAATCAGCTGACCATTCATATTGCATATTCTGATAGGTTTATTATTCCAATCACTAAATGCTATGTTACCATTCTTCATTTTGTACATTTTGTTAACTTTCACACCTTGTGGTCGTATAACCTTACCAATATGTTCTCCTGATTGATTGTACTTGAGCATTTCATTTGTCTCACATGAAACCAGTAAGGAGTCACCTTCACACTTAACTACATCTCTAATATATTTTGCATTTATATGAATAGTATTTACTAATCTTCTCCCTTCTACTTTGATTATCATTGGTGATTGGTTAACTGGTTCATCATCAGCACTCACATCTAGTTTACAAACTCCTGGACTTGTGCATTTTCCTTTCACAAAATAATCTCCATTGTCATCTTCCTGAATTTGAGAGATGTTGGTGTCTCCTGTAGGCTGTGTCCATGTTGCCTTCAGTTGATTTGCATATTTTTCATGTTCATCTATTTTGACTATTTTGACTATAATTGTCTGATCTGTGATCACAGATTCCTCTCCTTTTAGTGTTAAACAGTCTGCTGCCCTCAATTCTTTTACAGTCCCTATAGCACATTGCCTCAATGAAGTCATTTGCTGTTTGTTTATGAAGTAGTAAATTTCTCCATTATCATCTGGCTCTGTTTTTGGTAATTCATTGATTCTGTCCCTGAGTGCTGTAATTACTGTTTCACTTGACTGCATTGCAGTGCCTTCATCACTCTTTAATAATTGATTAAGAAAAGACTGTTTTGTTTTTATATCGGATAATATTGCTTTAAATTCATCCATTTGTACATCATTTACCTTCTTTTTTCTTTTGTAGATTGTCTCTAATTCATTTTTCATTTTGTCTCTCTTCTGTTTTACTTTTTTGAATATTTCTTCTGCATGATTGTCTATATCTATTAAACATGTGTCTTTATTTTGTTGTAATTTTGTAGCATTGAGAATAACAGCTTTGAGACCACCTTCTAATTTGTTTATGAATTGTTGGGCTGATTTTTCCAAGGTGGATGAAGTTTTTTTTAAATGTTTGGAATGCGTCTGAAATGTTGATTGGTTTGTGTTTTCCTTCCCATTCCTTGTGGTCCATATTTGTACAGTTCACACAGATTGGAGTTTTACAATCTGTGCAGTAGAACTCCAAAGGTTTACTGTGATGTGAACACTGAGGC